GAACAAAGCAGGACCTAAAAATAGTCACCAGGGACAGTGCTGAGGGCGGGGCGGGGCAGTGTCCCGGGTCCCTCCAGTCACTGCTGCAGAAACTTCAGTTCAGAAACTTGTGGCTTATGTGGTGAAGATCTCAGGCTCTGAGACTGGAAGGGCTGCGTTCCGGCCTCACTGAGCCTCATCTGTAATGTGGGCATTAACGAATGGCACCTATCTCGTGGAGTTACAAAGATCACGTCTGTGTGAGCTGCTTAGGATAAGAGCTGGCACCCAGTGGGCCCTCAGTGAATGTTAACTACCATTATTACTGTCACCGTGCTTGGCACCTCATTAAAGAAAGGCCATGTGCTTCTCACAGTAAACTTGCTGTGGAAATGATAGGCTCCAGTTCGGTCACTGGGGAGTAAAAGGGTCCCCAAGCCCAGGTCTGTGGAGCCCCAAAGCTGGAGTTCTTCCCATCACGCCAGCAGTCCGTGTTAGGAATCCAGCGCCGCTTTAAGATAAGATTCACGTGGTCTGGCAGCTCCACACACCTGGACTTCCTGTGGGTGACAGCCCGCAGGGCCTGGGGACAGTTCACTCTGTGACCCAGCCCATGCACCTGGCTCACATCCTCTTCTTTCCTCCTATTGTTCCCCCGTCTCCAGCAGCCCAGGTGTGTCCTAGATTTGCAGAATGACAATCCTTTTGCTTAAGTGTCCTATCCCGAGGTGACAGTAGGGATGCCCAGAATGTTTGCCGAGGGGACTCACCCGCCGGAGGCCCTGAGTAGCCGCATCTGTCGTGCAGGCCCAAACCCAGGAAGTGTTGTGATGAGAGCCCAGTCTTCATATTTTCAGCTCAAAATAACTCCTATGCCTGTCTTCGCTCTTTTGTTCAACATAATCTTTTCAATTGTAGTAAAATATATATAAAATTTGCCATTTTTAAAGTGCATAATTCAGTCTGCCTTCACTCTTAAGGAATTGAAAATACTTAAGAGAAACTGCTTGAGAACAGAACTCCCACCCCAGATGAAGTAAGAAATCTTCCCCTTAAAATCACATATTTGGCTGAAAATGTAATTTTTTCTTTTAAAAAATTTTAAGTGTTTTATTTCTTAGTTTCTAAACACAGTGTCCTATGACTAACCAGTTGGATAATGTTGAAACCTGAAACTCCTAACCCATATTTACTACACGTAACTGACAGTTTACTCATTATTTATGGTAACAATCACTTCTCAAAATAGTTGAACGCTTTCATTTTCTGGTGAAATTTAGACTGAATTTAGAATCTAAGGCAGCGGTCCCCAGCCTCTTTGGCACCAGGGCCCAGTGCTCCTATGAGAATCTAAGGCCTGATGATCTGAGGCGGAGCTGAGGCGGCGATGCTGGCGCTGGGAGCGGCTGCAGATACAGATGAAGCTTCACTCGCTCACGCGCCACTCACCTCCCGCTGTGCGGCCCAGTTCCTAACAGACCACAGACCAGTACCAGTCCATAGCCCAGGGGTTGGGGACCCCTGCTCTAAGGGCACAGCCTCCCTGGGAAAGGACAGGGCTTAAGGACAAATGGTCTTGAGTCCACTCACCAGATCAGAAGTGATCAGAGCAGCAGAAGGAAGGGCAGAGACTCGAGGTGGCTCTACAGAAGGTGAAGAACTTGGGGTTCACAGGCTCCTCCCGCCTCCTGCAGGAAGAGTCTGGAGGGCAGCCTCCGCGTCTGCTGTCAGGTGTACCTGGCCACTCTGTCCTCCAGCAGCTGGCGGATCTGTATCACAATTAACTCTGCGAGGGCCTCAGACCCACCTAAGGGTGTCATTACAGTGCATGAATTCAGCGGTGAACCTCTACCAGGAGCATTTGATTTATCACAGGAAAAGTAGCTTTGATAACAGACAGGTACTGTGGGGACCTGGAATCTTCTACTCGAAGGAAACTCTTATCCCTCATTCTTCGTTTATCCTGACAGAAGTATCAAGAGAGTGTGAGGAGAAGGGTGGGTGAGTGGTTAGTCTCTCATGCTGTGGAATGCCAGCTAAAACAGTGATCACAGCACAACGGCAGAAGCTTCAGACCGAATGGGGCCAGCTCAGCCCGGGTCACTGCCGCATGTCCAGCGCAGAGCCTGCTGCGTACTGGACCCACAGTACCTGTTCTTGAGTGAAAGAATAACACACACTTCAAATTTTCCAATGAACATCGGGCACAGGAATCCTTCGGGAGACCTTTCTGTGGATTTTTTCCAGGGAAGCTATTTGAGTGACACCGTAGAATGGTATAAAGCATTTGCCTAGGCCTCCACCAGCCAGTCATAACTCGAACATCTTCCTTTCTCTGGGACCTCAGTTTCTGTGCTATAAGGAAGTTGGAATGGATGATTTCTAAGGTGCCTTCTAGGCATCAGAGGCCTTGAGTGTCCCTTTGGGGACTTATGGGCATAACCACATTTAGGTGATGCGGTAGAGATAGGGCCGAGGTAGTGGCGATGGCGAAGGTGATGTAGTACTGATAGTTACAATTAATAAATGACCAGAGTCAGGAAACCTGTCACATGTACCATAACAAAGCCACCGAGAGAAACGTCGGGGGCATCTCCCAATCTGTACCACTTTTTCTTGAGACTTCTTATCATTCTGAACTTTCTGTCCTTGACATTTTCCAGGCTTCTCGACCTTTAGTAATGAATGCTCACTTTGTGCTGAGTCCATGACACAGCTGAGTTCATTCAGTCCTGAAGACAACGCACTTTACAGATGAGGCGCTGAGGCTCGCGTTCGGGACCTTGCCCAGGTCACGTGCCGAGAGGTGCGGAGCCGCCGCGCTCCCACGTTCGGCGGTCTTGATTGCGTTCCCTGTTGCTTCTGTTTTGTTTCTTTTTCCTAGGCCTGCCACTGGCACCAGGAGGCCAGCTCCTAATCTAGGTCATTGGTAGGATTTATCTTGACGTTCACGTGGAGACCTTCAGACTGTCCACCAAACCCCATGAGTTCCTGTGGCCCTTTATGTTGAGTGGCTTAGTGAACATTTTGTAGAGCAGTAAGTTCTCTCATTTACTGTGTTTACAGAAGCTTAGATGGCCACGTCTTGCATTTTGTAGAGCATTTTTGTGCATTACCTAGGGGATGGACTTGACACCCACTAGGATTCCTCCTGGTCATACGATTCTCTGATGTGAATCTCAAATGCATGATGGGATCTTAACCTTAGTCACCCCTCTCCCCTTGCCTTGCTCAGAACACCTGGCCAGGCGAAGCTGAAAAAGACTTGGCCTTATGATGAGAATTTCCAGTGTCAGAGTTGGAAAGAAGCTCTGAGGCCACTGAGTCCAGACTGTCATTTGGCTTCTGCGGCCTTGAGAATGCCAGCGAAGTTAACGGGGCCTCCTGCTGCTGCCCATAGAGCCCACAGTCTTCAGGGACTCTGTCCTAAAATTTCTATCTACCAAAAAAAGGAACTGTATTACTTAGCTTTTGACTCATTCCATCAATATGACTTTCAGTTTCATTGTTGGTCAGAAGTTTACCCTGTAAACTTAGAGCAGCGTCTAGCAGAGTCGGTGTTCACCACACACCGACTGAGTGAAACTCGTGGCTCCAGGATCACTGAGGTTCGTGACTGTGTGCTGAAGTCACTGATTACTGTCTTGGCTGTGACATTAATAACGTGCTAAGTAAATAAGTGAACTGTCCATGGGGCTGCCACGCTATCCTCTCGTCTAGGGATTTCTAGCAGTATTTTCCAGCTCACATGCTGTGCTCTGTGGCCATCCATTCACATCTCACAAGTCCCATGGGTGTCGTCAGCCAGCAGGGCCTCAGGTCAGCATGAACAATCCAGAGTTATCACTGACGCCTTCCAGCCCAGCACATCTCTGGCCATGTGGCAGGCTCTCGTGCCTGGTCTGGGGAAGCATGTGTTTCATCGGGCTTCTGGAAATACTGAAACTTGCTCGTGCCCTCCTGTCCCCATGTTGGGCACTACTGCCCTTCCCCATCTTCTTCCAACTTGCCTGCTCTTAACTCTTGGAGAAGCAGCCAGAAGACCCCACAAAACAGACCAAGTCTGCCTGTCACTCGGTTTAGATCGGTGCAGCCGATGTGTTCAGATTGAGGCTGCAGCGTTCCGCTCTGCTCCATATTGGGGCCCCTCCCCGCGGGGTAGACCATATTCCCACGCCATGCAGGTGCAGCAGCACCCTGCCACGGGCAGCAAAGGCGTGCATCTTGGGTGGGAGGGGGTGTCTTCAGTCCCATGTGTGTCCTATCAGCCTCCAGATCATGGGCAAGCCTCTTCGCTGGGCCACCGAGCACAGTACAGGAGGGCAGGCACGGTCAAGGACGGTCTGTCCCAGCCAGCAGCCCAGCATGGTACCCAGGGCAGGCGGAGCTATGGAGACCGCCTGGACCTGGTGCCCTGCTTGCCCAGCACGGTCCCCAGAGCTTCCCTGGTGAAGGCCACTCTTGTGCCAGTGCCCAGGGCGCCTCTTTGGCTCCTGTCCCAGGCTGGAATAACATGTTTGAAGTGTTGAGTTTAGGAAGGAGGGGGTGGCAAGGTCTCGGGGTGGGGGAGGTCTTAAAGTGCTGTGTCCTTCCTCCTATACCCAAGACCTGACCTAGGCCAGCTTCACGGCTTAGCAGGCCCGAGGAGACACTCTCCAGCCCAGTTCAGGGACTTGGGAGACTCTGTTGGGCTCAGAGTCTGTAGGCTCGGGTCTGACCCCTTGGGCTGTCGGCTCAACCCCCAGAAAGCCACCTGCCACGCACAGAGCCCACTCCTTGGTCCCAGCCTTTCAGATGGCTTCCTCCCAGGAACCCCACCCAGTGAGGAGGAAGATGATCCCGAGGGAACTGGGCGTGAGAGGCATGAAGGCCCGGGACCCTGCTGGTCAGCAGCAGGTCTCTGGCCTAACCCCCTGCTGACCAGCAGTGAGCCAGCACCCCACCCCCGCCAAGTCCCAGTGCGGCCTCAGCACTGTGTGCAGCTGGTTGAGAGCCAGCTTATCTTGTTGCTTTTTTTCTAGGAAGATGATGAGAAGCTAATTGAAGAAATCCAGAAGGAGGCCGAAGAAGAACAGAAAAGAAAGAATGGAGGCAAGTCCTCCCCCGGCACAGGCCCTGCACCCAGCACGCGCCCCACTGCTGGCCATCCCTAGGGATCCCGGTGCTCCACCCCGCCAGGGACCACCCGGGAAGTACTGTCCCTCATGTAACTATAGATACGCTCCAGCCGCATGTCCTGCTCCTGCGAGCGAGGCTGAGAAAGCTTAGACCCAATCTCAGCATCCTTGACGGCCAGGAGGTCCTGTGGGTGGGTTTGAGCTTAGGAAGCCCTCCTGTGTGCACAGGTAAGAATGACGCTGAAGGCCACAGCTCCTGGCCCCGAGCCGGATCCAGGCACAGTTGGCTTTAACTGTTTTCTTTACTAACCCCTGTGTCCTTTCCAGAAAACACCTTTAAACGCATCGGGCCCCCCTTGGAGAAGCCCCCAGAGAAAGTGCAGAGAGTGGAAGCCCTGCCGAGGCCCGTCCCGCAGAACCTGCACCAGCCGCAGATGCCCCCCTACGCCTTCGTGCACCCACCCTTCCCCCTGCCGCCCGTCCGGCCCGTGTTCAACAACTTCCCCCTGAACATGGGCCCCATCCCCGCACCCTACGTGCCGCCTCTTCCCAACGTGCGGGTCAACTACGACTTCGCCCCTGTCCACCTGCCCCTGGAGCACAACCTGCCCATGCACTTTGGCCCCCAGCCACGGCATCGCTTCTGATGCCTGGGCCCTGCCCCTCCTGGAGCCCCGCAGCGGGGCGGCTGGGTCCTCTGCCCCCAGCCAGCGGGTCTGCCGTGCCTTCCTAGGAGGGGTGCCGGGCTCGGCTCCTGAAAGGACAGGCTGCTCTTCCCACTTCCCCCCGGGAAGCGCCTCTGCCCCTTAGAGTCGCCAGCAGGCTAGCTGGGCCAGAGGGGGCGCAGCACCCACTTCCTCATGAGTTCTGCCACCCCAGCTGCCATTCCAGTGGCCCTGGCCACGAGGCAACCCATCTCTGTTCTGTCACCCGTGTTCCTGCAGGAGACGAGGGGAATGTTTGCCTCCCACCCCTCTCCAGCAGACAGAATTCTCTCAGTTCAAACCATGTAGGCCTTCCTGTGCAGCGCCGCTGGTCCCCAGCAAAGCCCAAGTGACGAGTGGAGCCGTCGGGGGGGCGGAGCGGTGGGAGCCGTGTAGCGAAGGCCGGGTCTCCTGCTGCCTCGAGCTGCTGACCCGAGTGAGGTGGCAGAGCGGTGTCCACAGGCCCGGGAGCACCACTCAGGGTGGGGAAGCTGCAGACCGTGTCCCCTACGTCTAGAACCCCGGTGACCGTTGGGTCTCTCTCTCCTTTTGTCCACTCAGATGAGACCACAGAGAGACCATCTCGTGCTATAGGTTCTGTTTTGTAGTTTAAGGAAATGTTTGCTGTTTACTCGCTTTGACCTTACCTAGTTTTCCGTGGCCCACCAGATTCTCCCTCATGGAAGGTCAGAGAAACTCGTTCTCCCAGGTCAGGCCGCCTGTGCGGTCTGCGTGGTCCTGAAGCTTCAGCCAAAGGAGATCTCTTTGAGGCAGCAGTAACGGGCCTGGTGGCTCTCCCGGGCAGCCCAGCTACTGGAGAGCCTTCTCTGCTACCAACCAGGCAGTGAACAGCTCCCCTAGGTTTGGGGCAATGGGTGTCCCCAGGGGCCAGGTGACCCAGGTTGTGCCCACCCGAGATCTACCCGGCCGGTCGTTGCTCTGCGGCCCAGCAGCTGCTCCCCTGAGGGTGGGCAAGTCCGCACGGGGTCCCTTCTGTGTTCCCGCTCCCTTTTCCTGTCCAGCCCCCGCCCAGGGTTTGAGCCACCCACTGTGCGGTACGTCACACGCCAGGCTGTGCAGAGCTAAGGCCTCGGCTGAGGCCAAGCCTGTCTGGCTCCCCATGTAAGTGCGTCCATGTTGCTGTGCCTCTGGCGGCGGTGGGGTTCCCACAAGCACGTAGTGCGCCCACACACCAGAGGAGGATGAGCTTCTGGCCAGTCGCAGACACCGTCCCACCCTCTGCACCACCCAGACCTGCTCCCCGCTGTTGGGACTGAGCGTTGCTAGGTGCCGTCCCCGCTGCCGTTGGCTTCTTGGTTGTATTTCAAGGAATAAAATGGGGTAAATCTGCTAAGGTGCCCTTTCTTGCTGCTTTTCCTCCGGGTGAGGGCTTTGCAGTAGGCGGTCGTCGGGGCACAGGGTGGGGCCGGTGAGGACAGGCCTGCGCCAGGTCTCCACTGCCGGGACCTCTCCCTGGGGGGCTGTCTGCACCTCACTGCCAGCCTGAATGGCAGTGCCTTGGGAGAGCCCTGATGGGGCACACTGCGGGCGCAGTGACAGGTACCTTCAAAGCATGTCACCCGTGCTTCCCCCAGGGGAAGGTCTCAGATCAGTGAGCGCCAGCAGACATCCCACCAGATGGGGAGGGCGACCTCAGGCACTGTCCTGGCCCACTGGTGACAGCGCTTGTCCTGGCCCCCAGGCCACACCCTGAACCTCCTAGGCTGCCTGAGCCAATTTGTTCCCCTCTGCCCCACAGCCCCGGGCCTGTGCCTCCAGGGCCCGGGCAGCTGCGCGGACAGACCCTGAACGATGGCTTGCACCATCCTTGCCATAGCGAGGGACTTGGCGTGCAAGGGTGTCCTTGGCACGGGAGGGAGGGGTCCAGAATAATGGTTCCCCCTAAGGCCAAATGGAGGACTTCACCTTTGAGCAGAGTTCCGACTGTTTCTAGGCCCACACACTGCTCGAGAGCCACCCCTGCCTTTCTGAACCGCGGCACCTGGTTCCTGACGTCCCCGTGCGGGTCAGGGCTCGCGGTATGGCTCAGTCGCTGCTCTGGAGAAGTTCACTGCCATCAGTTGTGTCCCTACATGATCCTCTAGACACCTCAGTGTCCCAGAGGCAGGACCTGCACACCTGGCACCTCAACCATTCAGCACTAGTGATGGGGTTTGGTGGCGAGACGGGGCCACAGTCATCTGACAAGCCAGCAAGTGACTGCAAGATGCAAATAACAGGAAATCCAGAGAGATCAGAGTCTAAGGGACAAAGCAGGAGTCCCGGAGACAGAGGTGGCCTGGCACCTTCCCTTCTGGGCCTCTGTGCTTCCTCCCCGGAGCAAGACGGCCCAGTGACAGTCCCATTCCACTTGCCTTAAAACTGGAAAAAGGAATCTAGTATTTGCACTTAGCAAAAGATTTTAAAACTTAAAAAGTGCATGACCTGTCACTTTGTATAAAAATAGCAAAAATTATTAAATTTGTTCTTTACCTTCTGGTAGTAAAAATACATAAAATAATTGTTTCGACTACTGTGTGTAAAAAGCCTGTATCATGTACCTTGGACTTTTTGTAAATAAACGTTTGTGTGCCCTGTCCCCTCTGGTTTCGTTTCTCCGCGTGGCAGGCAGATCGGCCCGCCATACCCGCAAAATCACGGGAGCTGCAGGGACAGTCTGGCAAATTCCTGGGGTGCTTAGGTCTGAACCCCGTGCACCAGAGAGGTCACAGCAGGATCTGGTCCCTACGCAGCGGCCCTGTGCGGGGAAGGGAGGTTTTCCTGCCTCTCCCCTGCCCGGGAGAAAAAATGGGTGGCCATGATGCTGTCACCTTGCTTGCGTGCCAACCGAGGCCCCAGTTAGGCACAAAAGGCTTGTGTTTTTGTTTTTTGGCACAGCGTCGCCTTCGAGAAATTGCATTCAGCCCCCCTTCCAGGCCCCTGCAGCAGACTCGCCCTGGAGAGCAATCTGCAGGAGCTGGGCTCCCCGAAGGGCGTTTACAAATGGGTCCTGGCCCTTCAGGGCCTCCTCCCGGGAGCACCTCCTGCTGGGTGCCAGACGTGCACCTGCAGGAATCTGCCCCACGGCCTGGAAGGCACCTGAGCGCCGGTGGACCACAGCACCCTGGAAAGCAAGCCAAGCTCAAAATTCCAATAAAACGTGAGGCTGTCCCCTCCTGCCGTTGGCAGCTGTTTCTTAAGTGTACTCTTTTTTTTTGGTACATCTGAAAAAAGTACAGCTGAGCCTTGAACAAGTCAGGGGGCACCAACTGCCCCTGCAGTCAGCTGATTATGACCACAGCCGGCCTTTCCGCGTACCTGGAATTCCAACCGCCAGTTGACCCTTGAACAACGCAGTTGTTAGCTTCGTGGGCCAATTGGAAGAGCCGTATGGGGTGGACCCGCAGAGCCCGCACAGTCCAAGCCCGCGCCGCTCGAGGGAAGCCTACATACCGAAATAAATCGAAGACGAACTTACCTGCATTCCCACTTTCTGAACTAGTCGGCGTGGCTTTTTAATTTACCTGTGCCGCCTAGTCCTTGTTCCTGTGCATGCGTATTTTATATTTTTGCAGCAATATCATAGACTTTCTACAGTTTCAGTAAAAAATAATAGAAACAGAGTCACTTTAAAATGGAACCGGAGCTGCCAGGCCAGAGGAATCGCCTTTCACATTTGCCGCAAATCTGGAATTTTTAAATGGCAAAATAACCTTTGGACTGGGCCGAGGGCAAAATTATGTCTCAAAGAACTGTTGGCAAAGATAAAAAGCAGTTATGACTACAGGACTGATGACTACCCAACTGACAATTAAAAACATTTAAAAGTAACATCATAATGTTATGTTCTCGGCACCAATAGAAATGCTCGCCTTCTATGAATGGTCCCTTTCCCATAAGTACCCCTGGCCTTCGTCTCCTAATCCCAACACTGTTTGGGCTTCTGCCTGAATTAATGGTTCCTGAATAGCTATTAACTGATTTCAAGTAAACACTTGCTGCCTCTCACTTAGAAAGGCCTTTTTATATTTAGGTTAACACTAAGTAGGTAAGTGATGGCTAGCTTCCTAGTCTACCACAATCATTTTTTTCCATCCTCCATCCAGGTAACCAGAGTCACGCGTGCCAGCCAGCAGGTCGCAGCATGCACACCTGCAGAGGGGCTAGGCTCTTTGCTTCCACAAAAGCGGCTTCATACTTTTCACCGCAACTCAGGTTTCCCCCCTTACAACCTGTAGTGCTCTCCGGGTCTGAGGATCTCATTAGTCCTTTTAATGCCTGCCTTTGTGTACATTTGCTACAAGTTACTCAGCCATCTCTGTTAAGGAAAGTTTGAGTGCTTCCAATGGTTTGCCAGCACATACACCTCAATGATTAACGCCCCTTTTTGTTTGAATAGGCGTATCTCCAGTGGTGGAGTCGGGGCACAAAAGATGGGGGGGCGGGATGTATTTTGATGGCTTTTGCCAAATTCCTCTCCTGCAAAGCCGTGACAATCCACCAGTAGCAGGTAGGAGCCCCGAGCTGTGCTCTGCTCCTCGCTGGCACATCTTCGTACCCGTGGTCCCTCAGCTGTCCTAAGATGCACCCCACACCGTGGAATCAGACCTCGTGGAGGTATCGCTTATATCGACACGCCTTTCTTTAGATGGAGCTGCTTTTAGGCCAGTAGCATTTGTAATTGTAATGTCCAAACCTTTATTTTTCTATCCTTTAAAAGTATATACACACACACACACACATATATGCCAGTTATAAATGCTTTAAAATAGAAAAAAATTGAAACACAGAAAAGTATAAAGAAATGCTTCGTTGCCCAGAGGTAACTACTGATGATATTCTGATGCATTTCCTTCCAGTGTGTGTGTGTGTGTGTGTGTTTTACGATTATGCAACATGTTTCACGAAACTAGGAAACCAGATGTGCAGGTTTTCATCTCGAGCCTTAGCAAGGTATGACAAGCAAGCGCTTCCGAAACATGGCTGCTAACCAGCTCCCTTTTAGAGCCTCTTGCCACAGGCTCCGTTAGCCTTCTCTTTCGACTTCTCAAAAGTACTTTTCAGAAGGCTGCTGCAAAACTACCGCTGCCCAGCCTGCCAGCCCTTTGTTCTCATGACCCCTGCAGGAAAAGGTCACGTCTAAATCCCCATCTGTGTCTTCCCTCTTGCTCAGGATTGAGTCAAACAGCCATTTTCTCTAGTTGCTTCTTCTCTCTTCATCGACATGTTTCGACAAAGTCCTGGGCCAGCTTCTTCCCTAAGGAGGGAGGGTGAGAGTTTGGCCCGAGGCTGTCCTGGGATGTCACGTGTTCAGAATCTTTTCTGTGGGCTCTGCAGGTGTGCAGATCCCAGCTTTGCCGCCTCATCGCTGCTGTGTGACCGTGAAGTGGGGATGATTACAGCGTCTTTTCATCAGATTGTGACAGATGAGATGGGGAAAGCGTTTGGCCTGAGGTGGGCACAGGAGGCAACTGTCTTATTCTCTTCTTGCTCTCCCTTAGAGCAGGGGTCCCCAACTGCTGTGCCGCAGACAGGTACTGGTCCCTGGCCTGTCAGGAAGCAGGCCACACGGCAGGAGGTGAGCGGTGGGCGAGTGAGCGAAGCTTCAAATGTATCTGCATCCACTCCCGGCGCCAGCATCGCCGCCTCAGCTCCGCCTCAGATCATCAGGCGTTAGATTTTCATAGGAGCACCGGTCCCTGGTGCCATAAAGGTTGGGGACCGCTGAATTAGAGTCTGGTCTCAGGTGGCCCCCAGGTTCAGGCCTGTGTGCATCCACAGTCTGTTGTCCTTCACTATTCTGTGGGTAGCTCCTTGGGGACAAAGTGCTTGTCACCCTTGGCATGCGTCCGGTGTGTCTGAGACTGCATCAAACCCCACACAGGAATCTCAGGCACTGAGTCCACGTCCGCACCCTGTACGTGTCGCACGTCTGTCCACACACCTGTGCACATGCCACCAAGGGAAACAGGTCTGGCTGGGTCCTGGGAAGGCACCGTTCGACTGGGTAGTCGGGCTGTCAGGCTCCCCCACAGAAGCGACAACAAACATGCAACGAGACAGCAGGCAGGTGGCAACAGACACGGAGAGGAGGCAGCAGGGGTGGCCCAGGGACTGGGAGGCGTCACAGAGGAGGTGCCTAGAGCCTAGACAGTGGGGAAGGGCCCCAGGCTGGCTCTTTGTCCTCACCACCTGCAGCTTGTCCAAATTAAAGTGCCAGGGCCCATGGTCCTGGCGGCTCCTGGGAATCTGCATTTTCGGTTGGCTCCACAGTGGTGGGGGCGCTGCCAGCCCCAGCGGCCCCAGGGGGAAGCTCTGGGAGAAGGCTGCCGCTGGCCCCCGGTGGGATGGGACAGGCAGGACCACATCTGGGAGGGGTGCAGGAGAGGGACCAAGGGGACTTGGCGCCACTGGGGACTTGCTGAGAGGAGGCCCGCGGGGACGGGCAGGCCCTGTCAGGGTAGCTGACGGAGCAGTGGGGCCCGGGCACATTGGGCAGAGCAGAGAGATGATGGCTTTGGTCAAGTACTGTGCGTTTGTCAGTGAGGCCATCTCTGCAGCCAATCCCGAGGGCCTGGCCAGGGCCCCAAGGTCACTCCTCCTCCTCACCCGTTCTACAGGCAGGCAGAGCGGGTGCCGGGGAAGCAAGGCGAGGAGGGGGCTGGTGCAGTCATGGAGACCCAGGTGCCCTAAAGTGCCCCCTCAGGCGTCCTCGGTCCTCCCTGCCTCGGAGCCTCTCTCTGGCCCTCTGGTGTCTGGGCGGCCTCTCTGGGAGCAGCATCCCGCATCTCACAGCCCACCCAGGCGCTGTCCCTCCTCTTCTCAGAGCCCCACCTGGCCGGGGCCTCCCAAGAGCCAGCCACCAACCGCTTCTCCAAAGTCTCATCCACTGCAGAAACCACATCCCGAAGCAGTGGCTTCAAAGGGCCCGCGGAGCTATTTCTGGAAAAGCTCTGGGGCCACAAGCTCATGCTCATCCGGCAGCTCTGCTCTCGGCCGGGCTTGGCCTGAGACGGCAACCCTGAGGTGACCTGCCAGGGCTGCTGTGCCCCTGGCCTGTCATCGTCCTTATGGCCCGAGCGTCCCTCCTAGAGGCCAGGAGTGGGCACTGCCTGCCTATCAAGGCCTCGGCCCTGAGCGAGCGCAACAGCCCCCCGCCCCCGGCCACAGCCAGCCCATGGCACGCGGGGCCCTGGTCCCCAATGGGAGCGGCATTCGTGCCCCAGAGAGTGGACCGTGCACCTGTGCCTAGGATGTCTCTGTAGGGAGCCAGTTGCCACAGCCTTCCTCAGGGGCTCTTACCTCTCTCTCCTCATGCCTATCCAGTTTGAGGCCATTCACTAGAAAAATACACGTGATATGGAAGCAAACAGAAAGAACCAAGTCAGACCTAAAAAGCTTTGGCAATGGAACAAACACAGTACCCGGAACCGGGGCGCCGAGATGCGCCCCCGCTGGCTGGCCCTGCCCCATCTTCAAAGGCAACGTCGTTCCCCGCAGCTCACGTGGAGAAACACCTGAGCTTTAGGGTCAGCGTGACTATAAGACGAACACACGATGTAGTTCAAAGGAAGGGCACAGTGGCTGGCCCTATCCCAG